CAGCATTTACTCCGTGCAGCACCTCGCCCCGGCATTCGCACTTCGCCCCGGCATTCGCACTTTGCAGGAAAGGGGATAAAGAGGCCTTTGGCATGTGGCGGGCAAGGAGCTGACCACTTGTCTAGCCACTTTACAAGGCGTGCTGCCTTGGAACTTTTTCCCATGTGCGTGAGTCAGCGCTGCTGGGCACCCTGCCAGCTCGAGCGGCAGGAAGCCGCGTTACTCCTAAAAAATACCTTGTGCCTTGCTTGGGGTAAGCTATTGTTTGTGCAAGCGCGAAAGGGTATGGGCAACCTGGAAGCCGCGAGCAGCAGCAGAGACTATTGAAAATAAGATGTGTGGGCGGCTTGGGCTCTAGGAGGCGCAGTAGAAGCACTTTTGCAACGACGGAGACTGTGCGCGATTCTTCCAGCCTGTTTGCGCGTCCGAAAGCTCAAGGAGACTTCGCTAAGTGTCCAGACCGCATGCGCTCACCGAATTGCGTCAAAGAATGTAAAGGAGCAATGGAGCTTTTTCACCTTGCATTCGCAGAGGACAGCAATGTTTGACAAGCATCTCTGTGTAAATCGTTTAACTCTGGCGCATGCTGCTCATTGACGCGTACAAGACCGTCCTGAACAGTTGAGCCTTTCTGGACGTCCTGGGGGCAGCCAGTCATTTCTGTAGTCATTCGTATGAAGCGAAGGAGTTATACATAGAAAGGGGCAGCCAAATCATGTCTGGTTATGACAATGAATCTCGTGCAAGCCAAAGATGGCCTCTTTCCGCAACGGTCAATAAGTCCTGGCTTTGGCGCCAATTCCTTCACAAAAGGAACATCCTCGGACGCATTACACATGCTGGGAGTCCACACGAGCTGACCGCGCGCTTCCCATCAAGAAGTTTGGATAGAGAGCGGCGGGCGCTTTGCCCGGGGCCCGCGGTCGCCGCGGAAGTGCTTGGCTTAATGCAAGAGACCCACAAGCATGGTGTGCCAATATCTTTTTTGTTTGTTTCGAAGCCTGAGGCAGGGTTTTGTGTGGGCACGAGTCATTCGTTGCTTTCACTCGCTGCTTTTGCACCTTGTCGGCACCGAGGCCCTGCAATGAAGGCGCTGAACAAAATCCGGAAGAATATCGTGCAGCACTTGGTGGGTTCTGGTTTGAGGTGTCGCGATTGTGCGAGGATATTCTCACGCACAGCGTTCGCCCGCTCCGAACAATTCTTGCATTTGAACTAGCCCAGTGTGTCAGGTGGGTTGTGTATGCGGGGGTGTTGCTGAAGCGTTAGGAAGCACCAAGCAGCATGAAACATCCTGACTATTTTTTGGGCCATCATCGCAGAAGGTTTTCAGGCGTTTGGGGGCTGTTGGCACGCCATACTGACAGGCTATCTGATAGGCTATGAAGTGAGTTTGCTTCACCCTTTTTGCCCGGCTACTTGTCCTGCATTTTATCATTGTTTGCCAAGTGCTTGCTATTGGATTAACCTTGCAGTACCCCAAGAGCCGAGATGCGGTCCCTGAATCTCCTGCTTCCGCTTTCACATTCTCGGAAAAGTGCGAGCATACAAGATCGATGTTGAATGCCTGAGGTATTATACATCAAGGACTGCAACTCTTAAGTTGCAAACAGCAACACCGTGCCACCAAAGACTTTTTTGGATCAATTGCTACTAATATGAAATGCAGACTGTCCTATCCTTGGTAGAAATCCTTGAGGGCTGGCCAGCCAGCTGATGGAGCACGGCCTTGCATGGAAAGGGGTCGGAATTGGCTCGGCACAAACGACTCACACCCACATGCATGGGAATGTATGAAGATTAGGCCCAGAAGGAAACAATAGGTCTCTAGTTTTGAAGCAACAGACACACACACACACACCACACACACACACACACACACACACACACACACACACACACGCAGGGACAGCAAACGGGGGTCATGCCTTTTCGCTCAAGTTCGGACGTTTTCGGGCCCAGGCCGGGGATGGCGTCGAAGAGGACACAGCGCGGGCCAGCAAGCCCAAGATAGTGCAAGGGGTGGCAGAATTTGCTCTCAGCTTCGAATTGCAAATTTGCTGCAGGTGGTGAATTTGAGCAGGGTTCGAATTGTGAGATGTTGATTCTGGCTGGCGGTTCTGTGTACCCGATCCACACCCAGAAACCAAAGCACAAGCCGAGCCGCGAAAAACGCGCCTCAGGCTGTGGAGCCGGAGATGAAAATCTCCATTGTCCGGGTCAAGGCCCAGCCGCGGAAGCACAAGGCGCCGTCCGGCCCCGTTAGAAGGAGAGAGATGCTCAAAACATGTCGACTTCCAATGTCTCCGCGTTCTTCAAAAATCCAAGGGCTGAGTCATAATCCTGCCCTTTCTTGCTGCAAGTGAGCTAGGCATGCTGCAAGGGGGTGCGACAGGCTAACGCTTTCTGAGGTTATCCAGTGGTAATGTTCCGTGAACACAGTGAACACATCTCGTTGCTGAACTTGAGCCCATGTACAATGACTACGGCCATGATCACAGCTGATTCAAACAGCAAGAGAGGCCCGTGTTGGCAAGCATGAAGTGAAGGCATTTGCAGAATTCTCCAGCCTTTAGAAAGGGACAGTCTTGTTCGAAGGCAGGACCAGGGTTTTAGTCGCTGCTTGAAGAATGACCAGCACTTCCGGCTAGGCCATGGCTGTGAAGGCGTCCCTGTTTTGGATGAGACATCTCAGGTCATGAAAGGTTGCTTGAACACAGTCTTCGAGGGCAGTGGTGCGGCAGTGCGTAGGTGGACCCAAGTAAGATGCCTGTCAAGATTTGAGCTGGGCAAATGGAACAGGGCTAGCCTGGCTAGTGCTTTAGACGGACAGCCAGAATGGTGACACGAAATCAAACGGCTGTGGATCAGAAAGCTCAACTCTCAAGCGCCACGCACGGCTCCGGGATTTGGGGCTTGTGGTTGCCAGGTGATCTCCTATGGATACCGGAAGCTGGTGGATGGAGAGGTACCAGAGATGTACCGCTTCCAGTGCGCCGCTACACAGATGCAGGGGATCCCCCACATTGCCTGCCAAAAGCAACAAGAGATGTGCTGCACAGCCATCAGCAAGGGATGGAGTAATCGTTGAAGCATAGAACTACATTGACATTGTTCAATCAGGCAGGTAAATGTGTCAAAGCTGGGCACCTCACAGTGATATTGACAAATGGTGAGTCAGCGTAGATGGACGAATGAAGATTGCAGCAAGCTGTGTGCGCGTGTAAGCCAAGCGGGTTTTGGGCATTCAAGTGGCAGGTACTTGCCAGACCCGGATTTGCCAGAGGATTTGCACCCCGGCGTCCGGAGCTTGTTGGGAGCAACTGAATAACGCTGCATGAGCAGCAGCGAAGCACGCACGCAGGCAGGCAGGCAGGCACGCACACGCCCGCCCGCCCGCCCGCCCGCACGCCCAACTGCCGGCCCGCGCGCCACGCACGCAAGCATGCCCGCCCGCCCACCCCGCACGCACGCACGCAATCAGGGCTTCTTGACACCTTGTGACCTGGTGACCTGGTGATCATGCTCGTGTCCGACTGCCCCTCTGAGGTCATCCCAGCCGGCTTTTCAGCCTGTGTGCCTGTGGACCAAGATATGGCCAAGCTGGCAAGTTTACAGAGTTCCACCTCACGGGCTCTTCCGTCTAATCCCGGTAAGTTGCTGTCATATTGAGTTGTGGGCTCTGTGAGAGTTGGCGAGCTGCTCAATCCTCCTGCTGGCTTAGCTGATCCAAGTTTGTGCTCAAGCCTTACATTCACACAGTTTGAAGCCGAAAGCATGAAGCCAATTATCAGGAAAGGCAGGCAATCGGCGGTGCCATGAAGAAGCATAAATACCGGGATGGTTCAATGGAAGGGGCAACAAGCAGTGGCCGAACATATAAAGTCGTTCCAATTCTGACTCGAAGAGCACATTGCAATGATTGCTGCTAGTCTGTTCTTGAAGCATGTTGTTGAGATTGCCAGCCAAGCAAAGCCAAGAAAGCAAAACAAACAAGCCCTGTCTATGGAAATCGAGACCGAAATGCTCTCGATGTCCGCCCTGAACTAAGACTTAGCCTAGCTTCACCTTCAGCCAGGCCAGACACACTCTAGCCAAACAAATTCAGCCCCTGGCGAGCTTTGAGCCAAGAGCCGAGCTTAACCGCCGCCACCAAGCAGCTGGCAGAAACGTCCCTTGGTGGCAGTCGCCAGTGTCATGACACTCTTTTCGCTTTCTTTTGCGTTCTGAGCCTGCCATGGTTACGCTGGTATTCGAACAACAGAATTCCCAAATTACTAGCCGCCGGTGTGTTGTGGGCATAGTGTGGCTGCTGTTATCCCTGTTTGTTGCTGACCTTTCTTTGCTGTCCGCCATGACAGGTCTACTTTCACACTCGGGAAGGTGACACTGGCCCAGAGTACCAGGTCGTGTGGCTGCGGCATGTCTTTGGCGTCGCAGATTCAGGCAGAGCTATGCAGATGGACGAATTGTTTGCAAGGCTTGGCCCAAGATGCCTTTCATTTTTCCATTTGATGTGATTTTTCTGTTTGCAGATTCGAGGTATTTGCAAGAGGATAAATGAATGCCTGCTGTTAGGAGAAGACCTGGTCGCCACTGGTTGTGCTTGAATCGTTCGGCATTGTTCTAATTACCCCTGAAAGGGCTCAATTGAAGGGCTCGTTGGAAAACACGTGTGCGACATCGCCAGGTACACTCAGCCAGATCCGGCTGGTGGTGATACGCCTGCGCACTCCATGGTCCTCGAGTGGTTCCGGGCCCAGATCAATTGATGACATAGGCAGCGGGATCAAACTAAGACTGGGTACGCTTCTGGTGGTTCCAGGCAAGTTGTCCGTTTATCACCCGAGTTAAAGCCGCTTGAAAGCTCTTGCTCTGACTTGGCTAGCAGTTATCTGAGCGAAACCCATCCTATGCTTGTAAAGCAAACTTCTTGTTGTTCTTCCGATCTTCCGCTGATAGCTCTTGTCCAGCCATAGTGTTTATGATGCTTGAGGAGCCCTGGTTGCTGGTTTCCAACCAAGGACCAATGATGTAGATGCAATCTGGGTCGAGGCGGGCGACACGGAATATGTTAGAGGGGCAGATCTACGTGAATTTTAAAACTACCACAAGCCCGCCTCGGTGGCCAGGGTGGAGGGGGGGGGGGGGTGAGGGGGGGTCCCCAATTGTTCCAAACCTGGGCCGTTTTTATGCGAGTAGACGACAGAAATGTGAGCAGGGGGTACTGGCGATGTGGACAGGTGATGCTGCATGCTGCTGATGTGGGGCTTTTTTCAAAACAGCCTAGTTTTTTCAACATCGAGGCTGTTTCACACAACTAATCAAAGAACTGTAAACAGGTGATGCTGGCGATGTGGAGCGTGTTAGTTAGCATGTGCTTTTAAGCGTGGCAGTGGGAACAGGTTATGTTGGCGATGCGAGCAACAGACGCTGCCGATGTGTTTTTTTTTCAAAGCAGTCCATTTTGTTCACAACTGAGCGCCAAAGGAACAGCAGGTGATGCTGGCGATGCGGACAGGCCATGCTGGCGACAATTGCCCGCAAACCAAGCACCAGGGCTGCCCCTAAACACATGAGCACAGGGTAGCATTGCGATTTCAAGTGCAACTGTACCACTGAGCTATAGAATTGTGCCTTTTCTGTGACAAACGCGACAAACAGATGCAAACCTCCCGACGCCTCACTGCTAGCCAAAGAGCCGCCCTCGCGCCGCGAAAAGCAACATGCACTCCAACCAAACACTCTAAACAACTCCAAAAATACAGAATCTCAGCGGGGGGAAGGGGACTAACTAGTACTAATTGTTACGCTATGCTTACCTTTTGGTCGCTTGGCTCCAGTGATCTAATCGCCTCGGCCTCGGCGGATTCTGACCTTGGGGCTGAGTCCTGAATCAAGAGAGACCCCAAACCCCCAAACTGGCACCTGCACTTCCCCAAACTGAGAGATGGTGGCTCAAACAATGTGCGTGGCGTTTAGGATCCACGGCACAGCAGGCATCCCAACGTAGAATTCCATGTGCCTGCACAGCATGCGCCCGCAATTTCACTCCACCTCCCCCCACGTGATGTGGCCACCTTTTGTCGCATTTGGTTTGTTTTTACGAAGAATGGAGTTGTGCTGCAGCTGTCAACTTGCGTGATGCCCAAGCCAGAGCACCCTCTCGCCTATCGAATAGCTCGCGTAGGCCCTCCAGCAGTTGGAGGACAACGCCGGCCTTTCCGAGGAGATGCGAAGATGAGATCGAGAGAATGTTACTCGTGAATTCCAACTCCTTTGCCATTGCCACCGCCTTCGCCCTGCTTTTTGTCACGTCCGAAACGTGCAGAGTTGCTGCAGACGGACACCCCTGAGCGGGCTCCAATCTGGCAAATCGCTGCCTCATGTAATTGCAGTCTTTGAACAATTGCGGGCAGTTCACGAGTACCGATTTTTCTGCGAACAACTTGGAGTAGCCATTCCTCATGATGATCAGTTTCAAGGAATCCGTCCTTGGGAAGGAAAGACGTAGATTCTAGACAGTTGGAAGAAGTGCGGCATGGATGCAAAGGGAGATCCCTCGTTTCTCAGCTTTTCTTGGTAACGTCCAGCGTGCTGAAGATGTTACAGCTTCGATGATGACTTTAACTTGACTTATGCCTATTGTGGTGGAAGCTGGCTTCGATTGCACATTTGCCCGAATGGCAAGCCTCATGCGCCATGGGCTGCTGGCTTTGCTGGTGGCAGCACAGGCCGGGTATGGTAGTATGGCGTCGATGTTGCAATTTTGGGTGGTTGTCGTCTACAAGCTGAGGCATGAGCAGCGCTCAGGAACCAGTTGGCCTGGCCATTGCAGCAGTTTCACTTTTCGACTCGATGGTAGTTGTTTGAGCATTGCCATGTCGTCGAACTCGCAGTTGTGAGTGTTCGCATCCTGCTTGGCTGGCCGGGCCCTTGCCACATGGTCTAGACAAATTATAGCGAACTCAGTGGCCTGAGGCGAGCCCCAAACCCCAAAATTACGAGGTGGTTTCCGAAATAAGGATTTCTCAAATCTGTTGCGTGTTATTCGGCGCACCGGGGCTTCATCTTCGATGGCTACCACGCCAAGTGTGGCCAGGTGTGCGAGAATCCGGCCCCCGTAAAAAGCTGAAAACACGCATGTTTGGGAGAATCTGATCCCTGAATTTCAATAACACGGGCATCAGGTTCTCAAAATCCGCCGTTTCTGCTTATTTGGTGCTACACTGCTTGAAACCACACATCCGATGAATTTCAATTTCAGGTTCTCAAAAGAAACATGAAACCACACATGTTTGAGAAATCGATCCCTGAATTTCAATAACACGGGCATCAGGTTCTCAAAATCCGCCGTTTCTGCTTATTTGGTGCTACACTGCTTGAAACCACACATGTTTGAGAAAATCCGATCCCTGAATTTCAATAACACGGGCATCAGGTTCTCAAAATCCGCCGTTTCTGCTTGTTTGGCGCTACACTGCTTGAAACCACACATGTTTGAGAAAATCCGATCCCTGAATTTCAATAACACGGGCATCAGGTTCTCAAAATCCGCCGTTTCTGCTTATTTGGCGCTACACTGCTTGAAACCACACATGTTTGAGAAAATCCGGCCCTTCTCTGTCTCTCATTAAGACGAGCATCAGGTTCTCAAAAACCAGCGGTTTCTGCTTGAGTGGCCTTGAAAAGCTTGAAGACACGCACGTTTGAGAAAATCCGGCTCTTTTTGTCTCCGATTAAGACGGGCATCAGGTTCTCAAAAACCAGCCGTTTCTGCTTAATCGGCCTTGAAAAGCTTGAACAACCCAGGCATCAAGGAAGAGGCAAGGCCCCGAAATACGAGGTGCAAGGTGGACCCTTAGTTTCGGGAGGTAGTTTTCAATTTTCAATAATTCGAGGTATAGTTTTTTCTATAATTTGCCCAGACATGGTGGATTTCCCAACGGTCACTCACAGCGAAGAAACCGAAGTATACGTGTTTTGCAGACCGAATGCAAGCAACCTACTCGCACTAGCAAGATCGATCGATATGCTTCTCCTTGTCGAAACATGTTTGCCGTTTGAAAACAAGCCTATCCAAAGAGATGCAAGGGCAAGTTTACTCAGAATATACACAGGGTCCTAGGAGAAAGGCTGTGTACGTGTAGGCCAGGCTGCCAGGCAGCTGCCACAATCCGGAAACGTTGAACGTGTTGCCAGAAGCACAGACTTGGTAGAAGTTTGGAAACCTAAGCTTCCCAGAACTCATGAATGGGTGGTGCCTTTTGCCCCTCAGACGATGATGGCCTTCCAAAGCCCCCCCTGAACTGCCACCCTTACCCATGGAACCTGTGGCCACAGGGCCAGCACAGCGAAGAGGCTGAGGCTTGGCTTGGGCATTGGCTCGCGGCCCTCACATTCGTGGCTACCATGGGGCGCTCTTCTTGGCTTGTACGTGATATTCTTCGGATTTGATTGCTTCATTTGCTCTGCCTTGTGTCAATTGGAAACCCGAAGCTGCATTTTTGCTGACATGAGAGCAGTGTTTCTAGCACACCATGTCTATGGATGGCCCTGTCCTTGCACAAAGCCATGTTCGATAGACAGATGAATTTGATAGTGCAGCACATGTCAGACCTTGGAACCACAGGTAGAAGAGGTGGAGGGACCTCCACAGATGACACCAGAGTGGCCGATAGCTGAGAGGCAAGGCGTTTCTAAATGAGGCGCTTGCCAAACAGGAAGCACATACCTGTAGGCCGCAACCTTTGGAATCGAGGCTAAGCGTAGCAGGGCATATTCATTTTGTGATTGTATTGCTGCATGGCTGCCTTCTGAGACAATCCTTGACGCAACAAAGGCCTTTACCAAGTAATAGTGTCACTACAATCCTTTGCTGTTCTCCAGGTCCAACCTAGCTTGTAGCTAGAGGAAATTGTGATCCAGGTGGTGGCTGTGCGTCAGTATCAGGGGTGCTGGAAATAGTGTGCTTTCCTGGCCGCTTTTTTGAAGGCCAACAAGGGGGCAGTTTGAGACGCACCTAGGTGGGACATTCACTACTTGGAGACTCTGGAGATTGTGGACACCTCTGCCGACCCTCGCAACCCAGACGCCCGGGGCACAGGAAGGAATTGATATGCCAGCGGCGTGTCTGCGATTTACTTGGGGTAATATGGGTAGGACCTGTTGTACCGCAAGTGCCTTGCCAGCAGTGGACGGTGGCTGGGAGAAATCTTTGTGAAGGGAGGCTTGACCTGATGTTCCCGCTGATGGTGCATGGTTATTTGACAGATTCCTGACAGGATGGACTTCTTGTCGCAATCATGTCGCAAAAACAGCCATGTTGAGAAGGCATGCGATTTGCTTCAAGCGCCCTGGCACCGCAGCTTTGCTCAAAGACAAATCCGGCCCAATCGTGCCTGGACTTTTCAGACTCCTGGCCTTCAAAAGCCAGCGAGAGAGAAACCTGAGAATGGGGAGCAAGCGGAAGGATTATCCCCCGAAGTGCAGAGAGGCCGTTGCAGAAACACGCATATTTTGTCAGTACTTACCAGTTGCTGCCTTCCAAACGACCGGAGAAGCGGAAGCTGACAAGAGAGGCCTCTTGTTTGATTTTCTGTTTGTCGGCTGTTATTGCAACGGTTTGAGAGGTTGTCAGACTGCCGCCAGCCGCCCTGGAAATAAAGCTCAGGTGGTATCCCCAGCAGCCCCCAAACTCTCTGGAACTCTCCGGAACTGCCCCGAACCCCCCAAAGCTTTTTCGGGCAGAGACCCCATAGCTTTCAGCTGTTGCTGAGGAGGGAGCCGAAGTCACAGCAGCCAATGTTAAATGCAGCTGTCCGACGAACATTCCAATTTGGACAAGGATATGTCTTCACGCCAATCAACTCTTGAAGCGGCGTCGGCCGTGTGCTGAATCCAAAATGATCCGAAACAGCGGCTGTCCAATGCGGGCAGCGTTCCACGGTTTCTAGGAATGAACGGCTACGCGCTGCATTGGGTCTTCCGGACCTCCCAGCTGAAGCCCACGCTGGACTTCCTGGAGCAAGTCCTGGGCATGCGGCCTCGGCAGCATAATTGCGTTTCCTGTTGATTTCCTTCGCTCAACTTGACACCCCATCCATCCCATGGGACTGGGTGCATCTGACTGGGGCTACGGCCGGGCCAGGTTTAGCCAAGCATTCTTCAGGGAATGAACAGTGCGGCTTGGATCAGTGCGAGCTTTTTGAGACATTGGGCGCAGACCGCAGGCGCGTGTTGCGCCACGAGGAGAATTCCTCTGCCTGAGGCGGGCAGCGTTGCACAACAAACATGCGGCATGTGTCACATGGCCTGAATCTCGGCAGGCACATAGAGGATTCCCTATTTTAGAAGACGAGTGAACCATTTAAATTATAGATGTCGAGGTATAACTTATTCAATGGACGAGCATGTAGCACAGCCTTGCTGAGCTTCACAGCGCAAATGCAGCTCGTAGAGGATCAAGGAATGGCGACGTAGCATTGCATGCTCCAGAGACGTCCGCCTGTGCCAGGTATCACCTGCAATGGGCCCTTCAAAACTGCATGGAGCAAAACCATGGTGGGCTACGACTTGGAGGTGGGCAAAATATCATGGCTGGCATCCGACGTGTCAAATTGCCCTCGTGTCATTTGGAAAGGCAACCAAATCAAGTACACCGACCGTTTAGTCTGACAGCCACGCACCCACCTCGCCTGCTTTCTTGCCTTTTTTTTTCTGTTGCACCACTTTGCAAGGTGAGATATAGTAGTCACATGGTGTGAGTCCGGATAGTGGTGGGCACGAAGAAAAGGCAGGCATTTGTTCATTCGAACCATTGTGATGAACTCGTTCGAATTGTGCTTTGCCCCTGAGGACAGGGCCTATTGCATGGAGCTGACTTACAACTATGGAGTCTTGACTGCTCAATATGCGCCATGTTCTGATGCCGCAGCTTTAGCCTTGGTGGGTGACATGGATTGCTGATAGCTTGGGATCTTCCTGCCACAAAAGCTAGCACTGGGCCACTTGTGAGGTGTTTCGAGGGATAGGCGAGGCTTTGCTTCCCTCGCCACCAAAGTGTTGAGAGCGAACAGGGTCACCCAAAGTTGCCCGAAACACCCCGATATTGATCCTCTTTACAGGGAAACCTACAGGAGGCTATTCATGAGCGGAGTGGTTTGAGCATGACTTCAGACCAGTAGAAACAGAACCTCAATGGCGAGGCCTGGACGATCCGGACACCTACAAACCAGGCAATGGCCTCACGGAGTTCGGCATCTTTGTGTAGCCCGGCAAGACTTGCGCAGTTTGTGCCACGTGCGCGCCCCACACAGACACAGACACAGACACAGACACACAGACACACCCACACACACACACACACACTTTGCAACCTAGTTGGGGACTGCAGGTTTTGGATTTGGTGACCTTTTGCCGTTGCCAGTTTGGGTCTTGACCTCAGCCCACTCGAGCAAAACCTGAGTCGCCTGTAGCCAATCAAGGTGTTTGAATGTCCTGACCACGGCAGGCCCCACTGCTGGATCTGGGGTTTGTGCAATGCAGGGTTTGGCTTGGCGACCACAGGGAAGCTGTCAATAATTGCGAGGCCAGATGTCGCTGCAGCCAAGAGCGCAGCGCAAAAGCTGGGCTACGCAGAGGAGATCTTCCGAAGCTGTAGGATTGCGATGGTTATTGCTATTTCGGGCACGCCCGAGAACCTGTCAGATACCCTAAGAGGAAGCTCTGGAAGGGTGCCTGCTTTTTGTAAGAATCGGTCAGAGCACCTGCCGCTTGGCTTCCCTTTTGGCCACTATTCGCACATGTTTCGCTCCCGGGGGATCCCATGTGATTGGCTTTCTGCGCTGGAGAGAGGATTGCTATTTCGTGGACCTGTTTCGAATGCTACTGTTTTGCTGGTGCCCACTTGGCCAGAAGTGCTATGAGGCATTTGGCAAGACTGTTTTTGTGCTTACGCACCGGGCGCTCCTTTTCGCTCCAGATGCTCTGACCTGACATGTATGCAGCTGTATGCATTATATAATCATTTCTTCTATGCAGCCGTCAAAGACTCGGTAAATTTCGTATGACAGTGGTGGCCCCACAAAATGCCAGCCAACTTGCTTTAGCTTGGACGGAGGAGGACTGCTGCATTGTCGGCCCCGACAGGTACCGCCGCACGGCAGAATTGATGCAGCAAGCAGGTTATAAGCATCAATAGGCAAGAAGAAGTTGGGTTGGGAATCACACAAGCTAGAATGCCATGTCTGGGCCAGTAGTGGTGCACTCAATCTATGAACTCGAAGGGGTTAGTTTTCCTTGGCACTAAGAGAAGCGACATAGGGCTGCCCAGCAAAATTGAGGAGAATCGACTAGCAGCAAAGCCCTTTGAGTGCAGAAGTCAGTTTTCTTTGTGGCCTCACTGCTGTGCCACTGGAGGCTTCCGGTTGCTGCCTCTTCCGAGTGGTCGCAGCGAGCGCTTCCTCTATGTTGCTTGGATTTGATTCTGCTGGCATGGGTAGGCTTTGGGCCCGCCTGCTACAAAAGCTCGGAACATATCCAACACAGTAAGTTGACGGGCACAGAGGCACCGAAATGCTTTGCACAATTCATGCAGAGATGTACTCATTATGTATTAGTTGACTGGGCGTGACACTTGTTGGGCATAGCACATCACATCAGCGATGCGCCCTGTGACTATGTATGTCAGCAGAAGTAAGTATCCATGGGATAGAACATTCTATTTGCTGTTTGCGTGTGTGTGCGTGTGTGCGCGCGCGCGTAAATCAAACTCTTTCCGCCAGATACTTTTCACAACGGATCGTGTGCTGACTATCACGGATCACAACTGATAGCTGGCAGTTTGATTGAAGCTAGCTTGCATGGACTACTCAGCAAACAAGTTGGCTTCCGTCAGTATTATTCGCTTGACCAGATCCAGTTGCACCGCCTTGCCCTATAGGTTTGGTGTGCTCCCTTCAATCTGTTTGGGGCCCATTGCCATGCTGTTGATTGCTTAGTCTCAGAGTCCATGAGTGCCACTGAGATGAAGGATGCTTAGAGGCTAGGAGTTTAGTAGCTTGAGCAAGGTCATGTGCCGTTCTGCGGGCCTTGACAAGACCATCGGCTTCTACAAGGAGGTGCGAGACAGCAAGTCTGACAGACAGGCATACATTGCAAATTGGATAGCCAAAGATCGATCTGCAAATGCCGATTCAGATGTTTGGTTCAAATTTGCTGGGCCATCTCTTGAGGCATCACAAACGGCAATGTCCAAGCATCACTGTCACTGGAGAGGTTTCACCGGAAGAAACGGAAATTGTCAGCCCAAACCCCAGGGCTGAAACTGGGTGTGTTTCTTCAGCGTGCTCTTCCTGACGTGTTTCCGTGTGCAGTCGTGAAGGAATTCAACACTCCCTCAGGCGAGGTGAGAGGAACAGACTCAAAGAGAATTCTCCAGGTCCTTGGCATGTCCGACGCGGAGGTTCCTCCTGAGGCGCCCAAGCTGGGCAAGAGCGCAGCTGTGAGTGGCTTGAAGGCACCTACCAAACCTAAATGCACTCAGTTGATTTTCCGAGACCCCTTTTCGTGGTTCCATGTTCGCCCAACTCACAGGATTGTGTCTCAAACATTGTAGCATCTGCGCCTTTGGGTGTTCAAGAAGGGGAGCCATCAGCAGACTCACTAAATGGCATTTGAGAGAATCAAAGACAATCCCATATTCTGTAGGAGTAACATACCTTGATCAGGCCCTCGCGATGCGCCTCCGTATATTATGCAGAGCATGTGCACAGTGAAAGAGTCCCTCCCATCACAGACATTCCCATGGCCACGGACTTGTGCCAAGGCTACACGTCAAAGTCGCACCCTCACAATCTGGAGCCAATGCTCCTCGCCGCTTTGCCGCAGATCCTTTTTGGGAGGTTAAGGAAGTCAAATACCCAAAAAGGTGCGGTTGATGCCGGCAGGAATTCTCAGGACTGGCAATTCCACCGGATTGTTGTTGCACTGCCGCGAGGTGAAATTTCGGGATGCCTGTTGCAACACGTGATGACGCATTTCCTTCATCAATACCCTCTGAGGCTGAATGCAGCGACAACTCACGGAGGCCC